CCTCTTTATAAAAAACTGATAAAATGCAAAATAAATACTAAATTGCATAAATGAGCACAGCTAATTTTTTACAAATTAGTTCTTCGAGTACCAAAGTAAATGAATAAATTTTAATCAAAATATGTAATTTGTCACATGTTCCTAGTGACAATTTGAACTATCAATAATAAGAATCTTTAGTCAAATACTTGGTTGGTGCGTTTGCATTACAAGTTTCAAATATCAACACCAACTTTCCTCTTGCTTAATTCAATCTAAAAATCTTCTTCATTCTGATATACAACGAGTTCTATTATTTCTCCACATTACTTCTTATTGAATTGAGTTACAGCTAAGCAATGTTTGACATCGTCGAGTAAAAAAAACAACAATATATTAGTTGAAAGATCATCATCATCATGTATTTGAACAAGTTTCATTTGAAGCACGTGTTAGTTTTGCTAAAAATAATATTTTAATAGATTTTAATAAAAATTTGATGAACTGTATGGCAGAAATATTGATTAAATTATGGATTCAATGACATGTGCGACTAAGCCCATGTTTGGTTAGCGTTTAATAGATTTTTTATATAAGTTAATAAGCTATGTGACTAAAAGATGAGTAATGCTATTCATATTGAAAAATATTGATAGTCGTCTCACGTAGCATAAATGTAATAATTCGTTATTTGATGTATGTGGCAATAAAAAATTATCATATTAATACATCAAATTACAAATTGCCACGTATGGCAACTACCGATAGTTTTAACTATGAATAGTATTATTCTTAAAAGATTGAGGGCAAATGAGTTTTAGAAAGTGGGATCAAATATGAACTAAAATTAATTGTTGATTTTGACTTAAATTTTATTAATTTTTTAATTAGACCAAACATGGTCTAATGAGAAGCTTGTGGTTGCAATGTTTGTGGTTAATCATCAACACGAAAGGTGGAAACTTATGACATTTGTCCAACTTTATTGACCAACTCCGAACATCATGGAGAAAACACACAACTTCAAACAACAAATGTAACTATATTTGACCTATTAATTGATAAATGGGAAAATGAAAATAAATAGTAAATAAAAAAAATAGTAAATACAGCTTAATTTGTTAATCTCCTTTTTCTCCGGAAAGGTATGGGGATGGAAGAGCCAATGGTTTCTTTGTAGAAACTATTACAATGCACTTCTTTTTTTCTTCTCTTCTTCCTTTTGAGAATCCTCCCTGCCCTTCTCCTAAAGGTCTCGCTCTCCATATACATAGATCACATTTTCTTCTTTAATATTATTTTTGTTTGTTTCAATGAAAGAAATTTGTAATGCACACATTTGCATGAATAAATTGTTCGAATGAAATGGTATATTTTGATGGGCATTCATCATTTTCTTTATGGTTCTTGTTCATGTTCATGAAAATGTTAGTGAATCTTGAGCAGTATCATTATTTAGGGAGAGCGACAGCAGGGTGAGTGGGTTCTAATAAAGATCGCGTGCTCAAGACTCGATCCCTTTGAAAATGTCATCTTCATCGCCGAAAGAATCTCCACCTTCAAATTCGTCGTCACCTCCTCCACCATCAAGCTCGTCATCTTCATCACCATCTCCGTCTAGCCACGATTCTCCATCTGCGCCACCTCCATCAAAACACAGCTCACCACCTCCACACTCTAATGATAGTTCCCTGCCTCCTTCTAACAACGACAACAACAACAATAATAACAAAAAAACTCCTCCCCCGTCAAACTCAAGCTCTTCAGGGGGCAAAGATGGAGATTCATCATCTCCACATCCTCCTCCACCACCGCCTTTACAACAGCACCCCAACACTCCAAGACTTCCTCCTTCAAGACACGAGTCATCACAATCATCAAATTCACCATCAAATGACGACTCGTCCATAAATGAGAAAGCCATCATAGGCGGAGCAGTTGGAGGAGCTGCATTATTGCTTATCATTATGATTATCTTCTTAGTGTCTTGTTGTAGGAGGAAGAAACGAAAGTCCCATGATCACATTCACTACTACAGAGACGAATCTCATGGAAATAGAAGTACGTGATCCACTTTAATTTTATTTCAAAATGAAATTTTATACATGATTATAGGCTCGTTTGAGCACACTATCTTAAAATTCAAATGCTAGTTCAAAACGGATCAAATTGCTCGTTTGAGTTTAATTAACAAGTACTTATGCATGCAGATAATGACTACTATGACAGCGGACCTGGTTTCTCGGGTCCACACCAAGCTGCCTTGCCACCACCGCCCCAACCTTCCATTCCCCTTGGCTTCAACCAAAGCAGCTTTACTTACAATGACTTAGCAGCCGCAACTGATAATTTTGCACAATCTAATATGTTGGGACAGGGCGGATTTGGTTACGTGCATAAAGGGGCGTTGCCAAATGGTAAAGAAGTTGCAGTCAAGAGCTTGAAATCTAATAGTGGGCAAGGAGAAAGGGAGTTTCAAGCCGAGGTAGATATTATTAGCCGTGTCCATCATCGGCACCTCGTGTCTCTTGTCGGTTATTGCATCGCGGGATCTCAAAGAATGTTGGTTTATGAATTTGTTGACAATGGTACTCTTGAATTTCACCTTCATGGTATGTAATTTACATAATAAATTTTGTCCTTTAATTTAGGCTCCGTTTGTTTCGAATTAAAATCAGATTTTAATTTAAATCGAAGTCAAACAATCAATATTAACCATATCTTTCATGATCTCACAGCTTTTAAACTACACATTTCAAAAATTTCTATCACAATCTATTAAAAATATAATTTTAATTCCCACCAAACACCTACTTAGCAAGTCGATTCAACTATCAAAATCGAGAACATTTAACTTAAATCTGCTACAAAATCTGACTTGTATAGGAGCTAATCGCCCAGTTATGGACTGGTCTACAAGGCTTAAAATTGCATTGGGATCGGCCAAAGGATTTGCTTACCTTCATGAAGATTGTGAGTTATTCTCTTCACCAAGTTATTTTTCTTTTATTTTATTATTATTTTTGTACAATTTTATGATAAATAACCTTTTTTGCCATTAATTTACAGGTCATCCTCGTATTATCCACAGAGACATCAAAGCTGCAAACATTTTGCTCGATAGTCATGGTGAAGCCCAGGTATTTAATAATAAACCTTCCAGTTTTCTTGAAATTAAATTTGTTTGTATTTATTTTATTAATAATGAATAATGCACTTCAATGAGTAGGTGGCTGATTTTGGATTGGCTAAACTTTCTAATGACAACAACACGCACGTTTCAACTCGCATAATGGGAACTTTTGGGTAAGAAATTCACAATCACAATAGATTTGGCCACAATTTTGAATCCTAGGGTTTTTTTATATCATTTACGATAAAATTAGGGATGCCAATTCGCGATAAAATGTATATTATTTGTGATTGGGTATGTATACTCGTAATTAATATGCAGGTACTTGGCACCTGAATATGCCTCAAGTGGGAAGCTTACGGAAAAATCTGATGTATACTCGTACGGGATTGTGTTATTAGAACTCATAACTGGACGACGTCCCGTGGATATCCATAGAGATGATGATGAAGACAACTTAGTTGATTGGGTGCGTAATTTCATTCTATTGAAAAAAAAAAATACGCTCCTTTTTTTTATGACTCATTAAATATGCCTCTTTTTTGTGCGGGGAATTTGTATAAATAGGCACGGCCTATTCTAACGCAAGTAACAGAGGGAGGAAGCTACGAGGCGTTGGTGGATCCACGGTTGGAGAACAATTATGATCCTCATGAAATGTTGCGGATGGTGACATGTGCGGGTGCATGTATTCGGCATTCTGCAAGGGGACGCCCCAAAATGAGCGAGGTGATGAACTATGGTTATATGATTAAATATACTTTGGGAACGTTCAGCAAAGAAAAAGAATTTAACATCTCTTTATCTGATTTGGTAAATCTACAGATTGTACGTGCTTTGGAAGGTGACGTGTCTTTAGAGGACCTAAATGAAGGGGTGAAGGCAGGGTATAGAGGACTGAATGGCTCGAGTGGCAGTTCTGCGTACGAAAGTGGTTCATTTTCGGATTTGAAAAAAATTAGAAAGACAGGTTTGTCTAGCCACGAGTTCAATAGCGATGAGCTGGGTTGACAAGCGAGAATGTCCTTTCCGAGGAAATTAACAAGAATTTCACTCAAACGGGGGTAGCAACATACACAGCCTTGAATAATCTCAAGCTTCACTTGTACATTATCAAAACAAAACCAATTTTTATTACCTTAGGCTTAGGGCATCTCGAAGAGACGCAATATTTTTACAGAACATTTATAAATTTAGAAAGTGAAAATTTTTTAATACTCCAACTACATCTTTATCTTTAACACTTAAGTTTATTACTCCTAGCATGTATTTATTATTTTTTTCCTATTTTTAATTTTCACCAACTTTCCATCAAATTATTATATTATTTTCCTTCTTTTTGTTTATATATACTATTTAATTGTGTCAATAGATCAAGCATTGAAAAATAAAATATTTTGAATGCATTAATTAAAATGGATCTATTTTAGAGCATCTCAACGATACTCTCTATTTTTAAAGAGTATATTTTACAATTTAGAAATCGTTTATAAATTTAGAGAGTAAAAATTTATAAGTACTCCGATAGACTCTTTATATTTAACTCTTAATTTTACTACTTTCATTTTTTTTTTTAAATAGAGAGCAGTTAACTTTTAAAAAGTCTTTTAGAGATGCTTGTATAAGATTTATGATTCAGATCTCAGTTATATGATCAGATAATCAACATATGTGAACCCAATTGGATTGATACATGAGTTTGCAATTCATAGTTTTTACATTTTAACAATGTTTAATTTGGCGTGGTTCCAATATATCGGAGTCTGAGTCAACTTTACATATAGACATGTACGATTAAAATAACATGGGTTATTTAATAAAAAAAAATTATTAGATTTTGATAAATATCGGGCCGTAAACTTCAGGGTCCCGTGAGATTAGTCGAAGTGCCGCAAACTGGCCCGGACTTCCACGGTTATAAAAAAATATATATATATTTTTTTTGATAAAGATCGATGAAATGTATGATTGAAAAATTGATAAAAATTATAATTAAAATTAACTGTTAGGGTGTGCTTGATGGATATTATNAAGAACATTTATCTCTAATTATCGAAATACGAGACCTTATGCGATTGTCAGTGCGATCTAATGCTTGAAGCTGGAGTGGGATTTACGAGTTATCAGTTATGTATGTGTATACACATATATATATACTTGTATATAGAGAGATGATGATTCGTGCAAGGAGCAGTTTATACACAGGAGAAAGAATTGCACAGTGAGCGGAAAAGCTGGGGACCCTTTTTAAATAGGTCCCTATAGTTCCACAAATTATATTTCTACCCCTTAACTTTTTCTTAATGCATACATACCACTTAATTATAAGGGATTCTTTGTTAAAAGGCATGGTCAAACAATGTATTTGGATAAAGAGCATTTTCTCAATATTTATTGGTAAAATGACATCAATTAAAAAATACAATAAATAAAAGGTATAAAATGTCTAAAATATCCCTATCATGAAAAGACATAAATACCCTTTCAATCCAATTAAATTTTCCAATTCATCTCCAATCCAATTCACGAGCTCTCCGTCTCATGTGCTTGCTTCCCCCACAAAATCTTGTTATTTATTATATTACTCACCTATCTTTTCCTACATTTTTGAGTATTTGAATAAGAATTTTGGTTTCTATATTATCTACATTGAAATCTCTAAATATTTGAAGGAAGAAGAAATACATTTTTGGTAATCTCGTGTATATTGGTCTTTTTATTGTTGAATATAGTATGAAATGATATTTTAGCTAATTTTTTTCCCACAGTTGGTGTATTTCTGTAGTGTGTGTAACTATTTGACGGTCTTCAGTACGGAAAGACATTCCAGCCGTTTTACGTAGTGCAAAACGACAATACAGTCGTTATCTTGTACAGATCGTGTACCACTGAACGAGTGACATGAACAATGAAGATAAAATAACACATATGTCGCTTTTGTAGTGTTACGATGTACTCTTTTTGTAATATTGAAAAATGATG